ACTAAATAACAGATGTTCATCAGAATTAGAATTCAGGTTGAACTAAAGTTCATCTGTGGTTTTCATCTGTCAGCTCAAAATCCAAATTCAACATAAAAGAAATTTAGGCCAGAGTTTCCAAAGTAAAACCATCAGGCCAGTGGCAACTCTCTGCTACTGTCTTTTATATGGTGAAGATAAGTTCCTTCTTATCTTGAAGAGGAAATGTTTAGCACAAAACAAGACCCAAAGAGCACTTCTCTTATGTTCTGGCCATCACACTAAGCTAAACCTTCCTAATATTTAATAATACTGTATAGGTGATGCTGAAATCTAACAATAACCTTAAAAAACTACAGTCATTAGACACTCATTTGAGTTTGGCATAAACAACACAAAATCATGGATCCATCCTGCTTCGTATTAACGTTTATGGCTGCAGATGGTGATGCAATGGTATTTCTTAATATTGGGCCAAATGTGCATGGTTTTATGGGCTACGGGCTACCTGATCATTGATGATGACCCATGTCCATCCATTTGTGACCACAGTAGACCCATCTTCTGTTGCCTGCTTTCAGCAGGGTAATGCAGTGTCGGAAAGCTCAAATAACCTCAAACTAGTCACTTGAACAAGACAATCAGTTCACTGCACTCAAATGACCTCCACAGTCACCACCTCTCAATCCAACAGAGCACCTTTAGGATGTGGTGAAATGGGAGATTTGCATCCTGGATGAGCAGCTGACAAATCTGCAACAACTGTGTGACACTATGATGTCAAAACTATGGAAGCCCATTTCCGCCACTAAAAAACAACAGAAAAAAAGTATCCATCTTTCTCGAAATTTCGAGTTAGCGCTGCGAATCGGTAATCTACGTGAATGACATAATTTCCTTGTTACCCGGAAGCTGAAGCCCACAGCTACAAATGCTACAAATGCTACAGCTAAGCTACCGGTATTACAGCCACTCATGAATGCACAAATTGGTATTAGCTGAATCACATGGCGTTACTATCAGCAAACGTACTCTGAAAAGCACCAATTTGTGATCTGGTTTTGAGTGTGCATTCCACGTAGATTACGGATTGGCAGAGCTAACTCGAAATTTCGAGTTACTTCTCTCAAAATTTCAAGTTAATAAATCAAAATTTATTTATATATATATATATGCTATGTAAAATTAAGGCAGTTCTGAATGCAAAGTGGATTTCAAACCTGTACTAGTAAGATACATAAGAAAGAGAAAATAAAGATATTTTTTTGTTTATTGTATCCACGTAGCCCTACCATATTCTAGCTCCCTAAGTTATTATTAAGCTATTAAGCCTTTGACAGCTCATAGACTATAGCATTGAGACATGTTCTTTCACAATATAAAAGTAAATCACTCAGTACCAGTACCATACATTTTTTAGTTATTTGACACAAATTAATAACTGATGGTCTAAATACTCTAAAGTTAAAGCGATAACTAACAAACAGCTGCAACAGTAAGACAAACTTACCAAAAGTCTCATGATTATCTGCAAACACAAATAAACCTTGATTTCCTGTACCTCAGCCTGCAGTGAGTAACCTCTAAAGAGGCATGCATCATTCTGTCAGTCTGTTCCCAACTCATTATACATAACTTGAGATATGAGCCACTACCACTTCAAAGCTTCAGTGTGCCCACTTTAGTTTATCAGTAACCAGTCTGCATTACAGGCGTTTGCGTACTGACCTAAGACAGAGAAATTTGTTCCCCTAACAGAACAGAATGCCAAAAAAAGTATTTTGAGTTGATTAGTCGCCAAACATTAGACTGACTCGTGGTAATAAGTTTCAATAGATGACTGACCTAGCCTATTAAACACAGTGTCAAACAGAAGCTTTAATATTTTATGTACATTACTGCAACTTAATTTGTATGACCTCAAAGTGCATCTTAGTACTTAGATGAGATAAGAGGTGGTTTGTGACACACTCACATTTCTAGCTCACAACTAATGCCTGCTGCTGTCTCCAACGGGGTACGGAGTCAAGATTCAGTCTGGCATATCCAGGGCGTTGGCAGAATAGCTGTTAACAATCTCTGAAATAAAGGCTTTTATGAACAACCTGTCAGACTACCATACGGTGCGGATAGGACTGAACAGAACACTCTCATCTCTAATTGACAACAATCTAATAAAGATGTTTACAGTAGGGGAAACAGGAAGTCATCTAAAATGGAGTGTGGGTTAATAATTGCTGCCATGGCCATTAACGTTTGTAATATATTGTAAACCGCAATCTGTTGTCTTGTCTTGTCTTGTCTTGTCTTGTCTTGAGAGCTCAATCATGTTTTTCCTACACAGGGCTTCCATAAAAACTGATATCAGTAACATTTATGTAGCTACAAAGACTATGCCATACTTCCAAGGTTGAAAAATATTGTGCAGATATATGGATAACCTTCAATTTAGATAAAGGCAACAAGATAGATAGATAGATAGATAGATAGATAGATAGATAGATAGATAGATAGATAGATAGATAGATAGATAGATAGATAGATAGATAGATAGA